TCACTCTAGCCTGGGCAACAAAGCGAGACTCTGTCTCAAAAAAAAGGTAGCATTTTCCTGATTTGAGGCAGTTTCTGAAATGTAGTGAAAATAACCTCTTTAGGGCTGAATGTTGAGTATTTTTGGTGACATACTTTGTCACATCCTTGTGGTGGAGATATGGTGATAGACAGGAAAATAGAACTGGATCTAAAAAAGACTTCATCAGAAAAATTTAAAACTCCAAATTTTTTTCAGTAAGTATGTATGTTGGTGGTTCCAAATAATATGCATTAAGAATTAAAGTTGTGTCTCTTTAAAATATGAGGAACAAATCAATACTGTTGTATATTAAAAAATACAGTCTGTCAAATACATATTTTAGGTTGAAAACACAAAAAGGACTATGGACAGCAGTATATATATGTATACCTAATTAATTTGGAAGTTCTTAGAAGAATCCTTGTGACAATACCATTGATTTGGTTCATTCAGCTTGAGTGACCATTTAGGCATTTAATTATTAATATATGTATAATACTGGATTGTATTTTCTGGTTGCTTCTTTATTTTAAGAGTGTGATTCTTATGCATAGAGAATATTTTCAATATTGTCAAGTCTAAGTGTTTTGCCTGAGTGAAAAGTATATGATATCAGTGTATGAATTGTCAATGCCAAGAGGACAAAACCAGTGTCATTTCAAAGGCATGATCTTCAGCTCATGGGCTGTATTCTATACCTGAGTTGGACCTTTCTTCTCAGTGATACCAGTATTAAAACTATAGATGACACACATAGGTCATTTAATCTCCTGTATTTCCCCATCAATAAAGTAGTCAATATCACTGGACATTTATGTAACTTATAGGATAGTAGAAATCAAGATAATAAATCCAAACTTAGGAGGGCCTCCTTTAAATAATTAGAGTTGCCTATAATTCTCAAAGATTTTAATGAAGTAAAATTACCTTGGCCCCAAAATATCACCATTCATCACTGTAAAACTGAATTAGAGCAGCAATACAAATCGTACCGGCTGACCTATTAAAATAGTCAGGGGAGGGGAGATTGATGTATAGTCATATATGATAGTTTATGCTGCCACCTAAAAGCAAATTTATTACTTACTTTAGAAGGCAAGCACATTTTTGTGCTTCTGTGCCTGGAACCACTTCCAATATATGAAGAAAAAAATTAGGATGACCACCTTTTAGATAGCTCTAAGTATATCCCATGACTGATTGATAAAAGCATAAGCAAAGGTAGAACAGCAAGGGTGTTAATAAAGGTAAATATTAGAAGAAATTAAGGACTTTAATTGGTTTTTCTTTATTTTGAATCCATTTACTGGTTTTTAATGACTCGAGAGGATAGTTGATTTCCCATCCAGTAATTCTTTTCCCCTTCCTCCCTGCTACAGAACAGGAGTCAGCAAACATTTTCGTAGAAATCCAGATAGTAAATATTTTAGGCTTTGTGAGCCAAAAAACAAAATCGAGGATTTTACATAGGTACTTACATAGCCATTTAAAATGCAATCATTTAAAAATGTAGAACTATTCTTAGCTTGCAGGCAGTGAAAAACAGCTAGTTGGAGTCGACCCACAAGCCACAGCTTGCCAGCTCTCCTGTAGAGCTCTGTTGTGCTCAGGTGTGGGAGACCATTTGCTTCACGGGAGGCTGAAGTCTGGTCACCGCATTCTCCTTGCTAGTGACTGGTGTAGACAGAGGTTCAAGAAACATTTCTGGCCTCAACAACAGAAGTTTTCTGAGAAAGAGTTCTTCTCTTTTACAATAGGCATGTGAACCTGCCTTTTTGGCCTTGGACGTGATTATGTGGAGGGGATGGGTGAAGCTGCCCCAGTCATCTTCTTAGGCCTAGTGTCCTAAGTTTGGGGATCTGAGCAATTTAATATTTTCCCTGTTACTCATTGTTGTTCTTCCTAAGTGGATTGTACAAAACGTCACCAAATTGTTCCGGTTTGGTTATTCTGTTTGTTTCCATGGAATGAGTACCTTGATTACATTACTGGCTTATACTTTTCTGTGGCTTCTGGTAGTGTTTCAGCTTTGTTGGCTGATAAAGCACTCCGTAGATATTCTTTTGTCACTGATACATTTTAAAGTCTGAGGAAAGAATTACAGTGTTCTTTTGTAATAAAAAATAATGCATTTACTGAAACAAAGAATTTTGTGTTACATTCGTCTCTCTTACATTACTTAGGGAAGTTTGCTGCTTTGAAATAATAGAAGGACATGATACCACCTGTAGGAATGAGTAAATGCCTGCTATGTAAACACCATGAAAATGAGGACGTAAAGTGATCAAGTTTATGATCAAGTTTTTAGCTTTCTAGGCTTATCAATCAGTCCTGATCAGATGGTTGAAATTTTTTTCAGCTATATATAAAAAGTCCCCTTTATAAATTAAATCTAATAACCATTGATACATTATTCTATTTGTTAATTTTTTAATTGACATATAATTATACATATTTACAGGTATATAGTGGTGTTTAAATCAGATCAGGGCAATTAGCATATTCATCATCTCAGACATTTACCATTTCTTTGTGTTGAGAACATTCAATATCTTATAGCAATTTGAAAATATATTTTATTGTTAACTATAGTCATCCTACAGTGCTATAGAACACTAGAATTATTCTTCCTATCTAGCTGTAATTTTGTGTCCTTTAACAAATACCTGCCTATCCTTCCCTTTCCCCTACCTTCCTGGCTTCTAATAACCTCTGCTTTCCTCTTTACTTCTATGAGATCAACTTGTTAGCTTCACAGAGTGAGAACATGCAATGTTTAACTTTCTGTGCCTGGCCTATTTCAGTTAATGTAATGTCCTTATTAAGAAGACATTTATGAATCTCTAGCCATGCCCTAAACATTGTTGTTTCTTGGGAGTGGTGTCAAGGGAAGTGTAACATTTAAGACGATATCATGGTCATTGCTCTTGAATAGCTTACAGTTTAAATATAGCATCTAGCACAGAGCCTCTTATTAGTAGGTGTTCAATAAACATTATTAGTTTTAGAGAGAATAGCACAGTAGAAAAATGAAAACACAAGTCTTGGAGTAGAGTTTCTCTCAGGACTACTCTCTCCAAAATGGAGAGAGAGAGAGGAACAAGAAAAATCAATTTTAATGATAGCAGCGAGTAGTGAGTTTTGCCCACAATTTCTCTCTATGAGTGTGAGCCCCAGGGTGAGTGAGAGCTGGGACAAGTGAATCTGCTGCTTTCTGTATTGCACTCAGTTTCATCACACATATTTATAGAGAGAGCCTCTTCTCACATGGTGGATCTAATGTTTAAAGATAATGTGTATACTTTATCTTGTGTTCAGTTGATCTGCTCAGTCACTGGAGGTAAAACTGTCTAGTGTTCAATTTACAGAGAAACTTTACATCTATCTCCACCATTTTGCTAAGGTGTTTTCAAGGATAATCTTGACCAAAGGCAAATTTTGCCTTTTGCAATGACTTTAGAAACTAACACCTTCATAAAATGGGGCTCCGGTGTAATCTGATAGAGCTGGAGCATAGCAGGCCTATCAGATTGTGATGAAAAATGATAGTGGAAAGGAAGGTGGCATCAGAGCAAATTGCAGATGGTTTTAAATGACATGCTGAGAGGTTCAACTTTATTTGAAGGCACCGAAGAGTCATTCATTTGAGCTGAAGAATAGCTTGGTAAAAGCTGTATTTTAGAGGAGTAATTCTCAAATCATGTTCCCATGATTTAGCAAGCTGGATTGGAGTTTCCATTACTATAATTGAATAATTTAGTGTGTTTCTTACTCAATTTCCAGAAAAATAATAATGATTAAAATGTCCACAATTTTAGATTTTTCTTGTATGATGAAGTAATAAAGAAATAAAAACTCAAGTTGAGTTTGGCAGCTTGTGTTTTCCATTGATAAATGCTAATGGCTGTGCTTTTTATGTTGCTATGTATAAACAGTCATTGTTTCTGCTGGCAAATGTGATAGAATTAAATATGTTGGTATCTCAGGGTGAATTTTGTGAAAGACCACTAAGAATTTAGATGAAGTATTACCTGCATAAATATGACAGCGTTACTGGTAATGATAAAAGAGGGGACAGGGAGACCAATTGTCTCAAATCCTTTCTTTTCTTAACCTTGTAACTTGGTGAGTGTGCAGAATTTGCTATGTGCCCTTAGCAGGAGATTTCTAGAGAACCCAGAAAGTCTATATAATACAGTCCATATTCTTAGTAAGTAACCTTAGTTTAACTTGATAAACAAAAACTACCCAGTGTTATAATTTATAAGACAGTTAAGTGCTAAATTGACACAGGTGTTCAGAAAGGGAGTAAGCATCAAGACTTTAAGTAATCAAGGAAGACTTAATCCCAAAGTTTAACATTGTCTTAAACAGTCCTAAAACTAGCTAAATTATTCTTTCTGTGTATAACTCTTCAAAGTTTTTTTAAAAAAACATTCAAATCCTCAAATCATTTTTTTGTTGTTATTAAATGTGTTTGTAATTCAATTAGGGTATTCTATTATAATTAGGCATTACCTAAAATGAGAAAAGAAATATAATCAACTACTTCAACAGTCTTTGCGTACATATTCTGTTATCTTTATATGCTGGGAAGAAGTTTGGTAAAACCCATTCATTCAAAAGTATTTGGTGAGTATCTTCGATGTGACTAGCAGTGAACACCAGAGAAGAGTCCCTCTCCTTGTTGACCTTACATTCTAGTTGTCCAGGGGAGTGGCAGGGAATGGGAAGTGGGCATGATAATGGTCCTTCAGGGGAGGGAGGACTACATTGTCATTTTCAATCAGGTGGTCAGAGAGGGGTAACTAAAAATATGATATTTCTTCAGAACCAATAAGCAAAAGTTAACAATGAATATTTGACATTTTTCTAAAAGCTATAACAATTGATTTTTCTCATAAGAATGTATTTTCTAAGGTGTGAAGGGGAACAAAAATAAATGCTCAATACCATGTGTTCACTCAATGATTTTTCAGATGAATGCACTGGACACCCTTGGTCAGACTGCTTTGCACAGAGCTGCCCTCGCAGGTCACCTGCAGACCTGCCGCCTCCTGCTGAGCTATGGCTCTGATCCCTCCATCATCTCCTTGCAAGGCTTTACGGCGGCGCAAATGGGAAACGAGGCCGTGCAGCAGATTCTGAGTGGTGAGTTAAAGTAGATAAACAGTGTACTCTATGCTTTTTATTCCATTTCCACTGAAATACACATTCCAACTTTGCCATGTTTTCTTTGCCCCAATTTTTCTCATGCTTTTTCTTGCATGTGTAATATTCTGACCTTTTTATAATTCTTAACTTCATTGCACTATTATGAAATTATCTTGTTGTTTCCTGGTTTAAATTAGAATTATAAAATCTTGCTTGAATTTTCCAGTGTCTGCCTAGTAGAGTGTTAGATATTTTAACTACCTGTGTTTAGTTTATTGAGGGAGATCAAACATAAAGTGATATGAAAATAAACTCTGGCTTAGTAAGTCTCAAAATTAAAGGAACTTACAGTCTGCCTACTAAAAAATGATGAAATAGATTGAAAAGAAATTTAGTATAAATGATTCTTTTCCAAACCTTTTAATTTTATGTGTAGATTACATCTGCTGTAGAGTAACATAACAAACTGGAAGAATAAAATGGAGATTGCCACAGACTAGGAGTCAGAAGTCCTGCTTACTTTTTTCTACCCATAGCCCAGTAGTGTCTAACTCTCTCAGGCACAGTGCCCGCTTTTTATAATAACTATTTTATGACATCCCCTTTACTCTCCAGAAATGAAATTCATAGATAATATTACCTAACTCTTATATACAGTTACTTTCCCAAAATCTGTATAAAATACCTGAAAGGGCAAATGACAGTAACTTGTAATTATTGATGGAACAGCTTGGGCATGGCTATACTAGAAGAAAAAAAATGGACCCCACAAATTTCTAAAGGGTCCCCAAGAAGTACAGCCCAGTTGAGAATCACTGCTATATGCTGAAACAGGGAACCTTCCAAGGCATAGAGTTTATATTTGCATGTTGTTAAAGCTTTATCAAAGCTAAACAGCCTCATAAAACTAATTGTACAATATGGTGAAAACTATTCAGGACTGATATTTTTCTCATGCTTTAGTTTATTCTTAGAGGGTGGTCATTCTACTTCAGTCTTAGGTTTTCCTTTGCCGTTTTAAGGTGATCATCTATCTAGGGTCTCTTCACTATCAAAATGAATAAGATCTACACAAAGGAATGAAATTTCCTATTACAGGATTTTAAGTTTGAAATATTGGAAACATGACTTTTACTTCATGATTTGCTTAAAGAAGATATTACTCCTTACCTATTCTGCCTTCTCAGTAGACTCTAATAATTTCTAAATGTTGTGATTTTTATTAAAACATTCCTAAGTTTTTCTGATATGCATTTTTACTGAGAATGACTTAGTACTGAATTTTAAGTTAGTTTCTATAAGTCTAACCATAAATCAGGCAAACATATAGGTATTACATCAGAATTTCTAATAATACTGTGCATAATTTTTAGAGATAATTAAAATGGAGAAAAAAGATTGAATAAATCAAGCATATTAGATCCATCTGCTTTTACATTGTCTTCCAAATGAATGCAATTGGAATATCTGAGTTTTGGTAAAAGATAAAATTAAATACTGAATCACAAATGCAATATTTTTCTTCAATTATTTTGAAAATTTTGCTTTCAAAATTGATTTTTAAAATAAGACATTATATAGGTAATTAAATGCTTAATTAAGAACATGCCACAACTTTTTAGTTTAATTCTTCATATTCTTTATTGATCTGGAACGCTAATACAAATATGGCATTAGAAGATAAGGGGATTACCGGTACAGAAAAAAACAAACAAATTTATGGCAAAGGTTTGCTACAACACTTTGTAAAACCAATGTATCATAAAAATGTTGTTGATCTCTTAGTCCTAGGTTTTCTCACTTACCTTTGTCAAATTTGTGACCAGCAAATTTGAGGGGTAGAGTAATAGGAATGGAGAAGGATTTGTGTGTACTAGAATTTATTTAAATTTGGTTTAGGATGAGATGGATATAGATTTAAATAAGAAAACACTTTTTTCTTATCTGAAAAAGACTAGGGAAAGCCTTATATTAGATCTCAGAAATTTTTGACCCCTTAATCTCTTTCCACTTACCAAATAATTTTTCCTCCTTAACTACTCTGGGATTATTCAAGAACTAATAAGAACCTTTCCTTTTTTTATGCAGAGAGTACACCTATACGTACTTCTGATGTTGACTATCGACTCTTAGAGGCATCTAAAGCTGGAGACTTGGAAACTGTGAAGGTAAGTCAGTGCTTTTATCTTCTGTGGTGGCACTGTTGACCTTGGCTAACCAATTCTTTTTTTAAGCTTCTAAGAATGACTACTCAAATCCCAACAAAAGATGGGCAGAGAAGACTCGTAGACAGGAGAAATTCTTCATAGGAAATATTAATATATATATATATATACACACACATATGCTTTTTAGTCAATTCCACTTATAATAATTGAAGTGTTACCATTTTGAGCCATATTTATAAATACGTAAACTAGCTCAAGCCCAGGTATTAGTAGGATCATATTTGAAATGATGTTTTTTGATCTTTTCCCAGAGATTCAAATGTTCATTCTAGGAAAGCATTCATATGATCCCTCAACCACTGTAATTACTCAGAATTATGCAGAAGATGGATTTTCCTTTTTATGTAACTCTACTTGCCAAGAAAATTTTATCGGTCTTTAATTGTAATATAGAAACAATGGTTATAGATTTAATTTTTTTCAAATATAAAATCATATTCTGATATTAAATATTCTTTTTTAAAAAACCCACACACTTCCCATTCATTTAGAGATGCAGTTAATAATATTTCTTTTCTTTCTTTCCTTTTTTTTTTTTTTTTTTAAGAGATGTGGTCTCAATATATTGCCCAGGTTTGGCCCAAGCAATCTGTCCATCTCAAGTCTCCTGAGTACCTGGGACTGTGGGCATGTACCACCAACATACCTGACTTTGTTTTTACATCTTTTTATTTATTTTTAAAGAAAAGCTAATTGCAAATTGGTATTGACAGTCATACGACTTTTTACAAACAAAACTTTGTCACCTCTTATTAAGCAAACTTTGTCTTTGTGATTTTTAGCAAACCAGTTTTACTATTCTTGATAACATATACTGGTTGAAAATGACAATAAATAAATAGTTCCTAAGCTCTGTTGCCTAGAAATTTTATTTTTATTTTAATATGTGGGACTTCTTCCAACTTACAACAGCATCTAAGTTATTTAAAGAAAAATAGTAAATTTTAGTTGTAATAACCTCTGAGGAGAAATTTTTAAATTCTCTTAGATCTAAAACTATATAATATTTTTCCTTAGAAATACTTTCTCATTTGAAATGTATCCTAATAAAAGAAAATTCTTAAATATAAAAGTGATTAAGTTTTCTTTCACAGCATGATCATCTCAGCACTAGAATTGCTACATGTGCTCATTATAATTACTTTAATATATAGTTTATTTTAAAAATATACCATTTTTAATTCCATGTGTTTTATGTGTAATAGGTAAACATATACTAAAGCTTTCAGCTTTTCTAAACAACCCATTCACAATGAAGGCCAAATTTATTTTTATCAATGGAATGACAGTGGCAAAAGAAAACAAAGCAGCACAAATTAAGTGAGAATTAGGTCCAGTAAATTTCTTCTCAAGAGCCTTTAGAAAGTATTAGAAGTCAAACTGAATGCAGTGGCTCATGCCTGTAATCCTAGCACTCTGGGAGGCTGAGGTGGGAGGATCACTTGAGCTCAGTTTGAGACCAGAATGGGCAAGAGTGAGACCCCCCCCCTATCTCTAAAAAAAAGAAAGTAAGTATTAGAAGTCAGATATTAGACGAAAAGGCTGTTTGCCAAGTAATATATTTGAAAATATGAAAAGTAGGTAGCAAGGATATAAAATTGCTTTGGCATCCAAAAAGGAAGTAAAATAGAATAAATAGTAAAGAACTTCCATATATTTAAAAAGCAAATATATAATAAGCAGATTGGGCTTCTAGTTTTGTAGGCTTGCAAAACGAGTTATTTAATTCTGTACCTCATTCCTATTTTGCCAATATTCCCTGCAAAAATAATAAAGTTAATTTAGAATGTAAGAACCAGGGCGAAAAACAGCATCAGGAAGCAGCTTCAATTATGTAAGACTCCATAGGTGTTAACTACCAATTTTTGTAGCTTTTCTTTTTTGTTTACTTATTAATTTATATTTTAAAAAATTTTATTGATCAATTCTGTTACTTATGTGTTAATATAGCCACAGATTCACTTGTCATGAAAGAAATTTGACCTGGCCATATGACAGTGGCTTTTTAGGTCTTAGAGCCTGGTGCTCTTCCCGATAGAGTTGATGATATTGTGAGTTCTCCCTTACTGCACATACTTCTGCCTGTTGTGTAAAAATTGTACCACCTGGAAAGCCCTTGTATTTATCCTACCAGTGTGAAAGTTCTTTGTCTTAGTCCATTTGTGCTGCTATAACAAAATACCATAGACTTGGTTATTTATAAAGAATAGAAATTTATTTCTCACAGCTCTAAAGGCTGGGAAGTCCAAGATGCAGGTACTGGCAGGTTTGGTGTCTGGTGGGGGTCCAGTCTTTCTGCTTCCAAAATGGTTCCTTGTTGCTACGTCTCCTGGAGGGAACAAATGCTGCAGCCTCACATGGCAGAAGGCAGAGGGCAAAAAAGGCCAAATGCTGTGCGAAGCTTCTTTTATAAGGAATTTAATCTCCTTCACCCAGAAGGAGCCTTCCTGACCCCATTGCCTTCTAAAGGCCCCGCCTCTTAGTAATATTGCAATAGGGATTAAGTTTCAACATGAATTTTGGAAGGGCACAAACATTCAAACCATAGCACCCCTGCTCAGTATATTAGTAGAAATAGAGATCTTTTCAGGTTCTTAGTTTTTATATAATAATAGCTCATTATAGTGGCAAGAGCCACAATAAGACTGCCAAATAAATGCCTAGAAAGCCCCTGTCATCATACCTTTTAACCTAGAGAATACCTCTATTTTCTCTGCTTCATTTCCCTTTTCTCTTTTTTTTAATTTCAGCATATTATGGGGGTACAGATTTTAAGGTTTGAATAAATGCCCATTTCCCCCCTTCCCCCACAAGTCTGAGTCTCCAGCATGACCATCCCCCAGATGGTGCACATCTCACTCATTATATATGTATATACCCGCCCCCCTCCCACCTGCCCAATACCCTATTACTGTAGTACCTATGTGATCCCTTTTCTGTTTTTTTTTTTATCTTAGCCACTAGACCACCAGGGATATTTGCCTTTTCTAAGTTTCATTACTTTTCTTCTTATTATTTCTCTGAAGTTAGATCATTAAGAGAGTGATCAACGATGTATGATGTAGCACAAAGATCAAGAAATTTAAAATCAGTAAAAGAGGGTTTGACTCTTTATTTTACCCCTTATCAACTATTTGAAAAGGATAAGTCACTTAAGCTCTCTGAGCCTTGCTTTATTTATCTATAAAATAGAGATACATATATCTCCATATAGATAATACATATGTTCATATATATAATAAATAATATATATTCATCAATATATATAATTCCCTCACTGGAAGAATATGATGCTATTTATAAACTATAAATTATTATTTAAATATTATTATATATTAATGATATATATCACCACCAGTGATGCAGCCTTTCATGCCTTCCTTTGTTTCCTACTGCTTTGTAAACAAACATAATTTAGCTTATAATTTAGACTGTGCTGAAATGGTAGCATTCAGAGAGAGAAAAGGAGACAGGGAAGAGATTTGGAGGACATCTCTGAAGGAGATGGAAGTAACGGCCAAAAACTAGAGTATGATTAAAATCAGTTAACTCCCCCAAAATCAACTAAAGCACTGTTGGTTTTGCTATAATGGATCAAAGGGCCAAGTGAGTGGCCCAAGCAGAAAATTAATTTTTCCAGAGCCTTTTTGCTTGCTTTGATGTGCGTTAGAGAAGACAAGAACTCTTTAGTTCTCTGGTCAACTGGGGATGGTCGTATTTGAGCAAAGAATGGCTAAGAGCGTGCTGTACCAGCAGATATGCTATGATAGTCTCAGGGGAGAAAAGACTCATAAAGATGAAATAACAAGGCATCTTTGGCTTCATTGTGGGTTTGACTATTTGATTAAGATTGTGGCCAGGAAATGTCAAAAAAGATTAAATTACTGTGTTCATAGTAAGTATTTGTAATCACTATAAAGCTAAGCATAGTGCTGATTTTAAACATCATTAGTATTACATCTAATCTTCGGTGATAAATATGCATTAGAAAATTACAAGTTATCCAAGATGCTGCATTTTAGAGCAAAATCTCTGAATAAATATTAATGTTCTCTTTGTGTTTGTCTCTGTGTGTGCACCATAAAAGCAACTTTGCAGCCCTCAAAATGTGAATTGCAGAGATCTAGAGGGCCGGCATTCTACACCCTTACACTTCGCGGCGGGCTACAATCGTGTGTCTGTCGTGGAGTACCTTCTACACCACGGTGCCGATGTCCATGCCAAAGACAAAGGGTATGTGTTGGAATCTAGCTGTTTGCGATTCATTCTCTTCATACTTAAAAAAAAAAAAAATTAAATATTTTTGAAGTCTTAGATTTTTTCCCCCTATTAAAAAAGTAATGCATGTCTTTTGTTTAAAAGATAAATTAAAGCATTATAGAAATGTACAGTATAGAAAGTGAAAATTCCCTGTTAGCCCAAGCAGGAGTAGGGAACCTGCAGCTTTCTGATTTCAAAATTGTTCTCTTTTAAGCGCCAAAGGAGGCAAGAACAGATTCATCTTTCTCTTCTGCACCCCTTTTAATAAAAAGATTTGTTCTGTAAAGTTTGGATTCAGTCAAAAGGCCGCACTTAAGGACCTAGAAGGCCACAGTTTCCCCACCCCTGCTTGGTGGTTTTTAACACAAATGATGGTTCCGTTCTATACAGTCTGCTTTGTGCTTTATTTATTTTCACCCAGTAGTATTTCTTTTGAATGTCTTTCTATATCAGTACTTAATAGTTTATCTCATTCTTTTAATTCCTATCTATACTATTATAAGAATGTTTTACAGTTTTATAGTTTATAATTTATTGTTTATCACCAGTTTTTTACTATTAAAAATGTATTTAATATAATCTCATCCAAAAAGATGCCACCCATCCCAAAGTCATTAGTATTAATAGACATATAATTTTATTTTTACCAATTCAGATATTCTATATTTTATATTAGTTTGCTTGATTATTTGAATTTATCTAGAAAAAGCTTAAACAGCCATGGAAGCTACTTAGAAATGTGAGAAGTCATTGGTATTAATAGACATATAATTTTATTTTTACCAATTCAGATATTCTTTTTTTTTTTTTTTTGAGACAGAGTCTCACTTTGTTGCCTAGGCTAGAGTGAGTGCCGTAGCATCAGTCTAGCTCACAGCGACCTCAAATTCCTGGGCTCAAGCAATCCTTCTGTCTCAGCCTCCCAAGCAGCTGGGACTACAGGCATGCACCACCATGCCCGGCTAATTTTTTCTATATATATTAGTTGGACAATTAGGTCTCACTCCTGCTCAGGGTGGTTTCGAACTCCTGACCTCGAGCAATCCCCCCACCTCGGCCTCCCAGAGTGCTAGGATTACAGGCGTGAACCACCACACCCGGCCTAGATATTCTTTATTTTATATTAGTTTGCTAGATTATTTGAAATTATCTAGAAAAAGCTTAAACAGCCATGAAAGCTACTTAGGAAATTTTAACTGAAATGAGTTTCCATATTCTGAGTTAATTTCTTACCATCTCAAAAAAAGCCAGCACTTTTCTGTGCAATTACATAGCAGAATGAAACTAAACAATTTAGGCTTCACTTAACCATAACGTATTTATTTATCTTTTTAAAGGGACACATCAGACATGATTATTCAGTAACAATATTACTAGCTCCTTCAAAGTGCTATAAAGCATTGGAGAGCAGTCAACATTTGTTTCTATTACCCATTTTAGCACTTAGCATATTTCATCATAAAACAAAACAAAGACATTGTTCTCTCTAAATAAAAAGGCAATTGATACTTTGTTTTTGGCTTAAGTGCAGCTTACTCTTTTGATGCATCCTTTTTTATGGGAGAATCTTTTTGTCCTTTTCCAATTTCCAGTTGCCCTACTAATCAAAACTTAGAGTCATCGCAGAATAGTTTGATCATTTCTTATATGACCAGAATTTATAATAGATGTCATCATTTTTCTTAGTGAATACGTTTCTGAATCACTTGGATTGTGTGTTTTCATTGCATGGCACCTCCCTATTTAAACCTATGCACAGAAACCACCACTGAATCATTATGATTTAAAAAATAATAACAAAAGGTTGAACTTGCCTAAAATAAGTAAGTTGAATTGTATTATATGTTTTATAAGTAAGCATATAATTTTCATTAGTAAAACTTCAAGAAAATCTGAGAGATGATAAAGCTAGATTATTGATTACTTATTCCTGAAATCTCTTTGTAGTGTTGCTATTTATATTGGTAGGGTGAAAATCTGAATTAAAAGTATGGCAATAGAACCTTATTCTGTGGGTATATCTCTCTCTGTATATTTTAAGGATAATGATTACTATAACACATATATCCATCCCCCCAAAAATATAAAAAGTCCTTGTGACAATTTTGAAATTATTAATCCTTATTTATAAATGGTTAAGAAATGGACGACTATATCTTAAAGAACAGAGGAGAATTATTTCTCTTTGAGCAGTGTTCAGTATAATCAGTACTGTAGAAGAATACCATTTTTATTATAAGAACCATTTTAACACAAAGATCTGTTTATGACTTTAAAATAATTTTCTTTCATTTAGCGGCTTGGTGCCCCTTCATAATGCCTGTTCATATGGACACTATGAGGTAGCTGAGCTTTTAGTAAGGCACGGAGCTTCTGTCAATGTGGCGGACTTGTGGAAATTTACCCCTCTACATGAAGCAGCAGCTAAAGGAAAATATGAAATCTGCAAGCTCCTTTTAAAAGTATGTAGTTTAAAAAGTTATAAAAATAAAGTAATTGTATTTGTATCTGGTTATTACTCGAAATTAAATCAGAGTGTTTTATCCTATTAAGAATAATAAGTGCTATAGAAACGGCTTCCACTTTCTATTTTACAGAAGACTGTCTGTGTGATATCATGATACTTACATTGCTTTGATTAGTGCCTCAAGTGAAGTTCTGAACTGATTTGATTAAATTCCCTTCATCAGAATTCATCAAAATAGGTTTTGGAAAGAGTCGAAATAGTTTGCATTGCTTATACTTAAAAATATCAGGAAAAAAATGTGCAAGGAGAAATAAGTTTTTCTATCAAGCTTATTTTTTTCCTTTTACTGGCTATTTTATTATTAGCTAACTCATTCTCCATTATTAAACATTATTTAAACATTGTATCTTATAAGAACTTATTTTAATATCATATTTTAAATATAAGGTAATCTCTAAGCAAAGTTGTTCATACAGATTTTGGGGATATATGTGAAATAAAAACTAGTAGTTATATGAAACTAACAATAACTTTATGCTCCTTTTAAAGTATATTAAAGATGACCAGATATGTGCACGCACGCACAAATGCACGGTTTTCTCTTTTGTTTTTAACTACAGAAAAAAAGTTCTCATTAGATATAAATGAAGTTATTCTCCCGTCATATATTTTGTAGTATCAAATATATTCTTAGGAGTTGAGAAAACAGCATATTTGGTGCTCATTTTTATTATTACTGGTTGGTAAGAAATAACTTCCAGATCATTGTGAATCCATTGTCTAGCTTGGCTTATTCTTAATTTCCACAGTGGGCCAGCAGCAGTCTGTATTAGGCCCATAATAAAAATTCTTTACTTTTCTTTACTTTATTTCCTACATATTAAGTGATAAAACTTTTAAAATCAATGTAATTTTTAATACATTTGCACATAATTTTTATGATAGGTGTTAAGACTTATTATGAAAATATAAAAAATATTACCAAACTTTTTTCTTACTGATGGGATTTGGAATTAAGTACATTTTTCACATGTATGTCTTCCTCCTCTCTCTTCTTTTTCGTAATACCCGTGAGTATCTTTGTGTAATTGAAGTCTGGTTACAATAAACATCCAGGCCATTCTTAAATGGACAAGTTTTCCAAAGACAACTGAGAGTCTGGGAAATAGTACATTATATGACAAGTAAAAGATGCTTAACACTCCCTACTTCAGCACCACTGATCCTGAGGCTTTGATGGAGTAGTAGTTAGAAAGCTGATCCAATATATTGCTAAGTAGAGAATTAAGATATTGCCTCTTTTTCAAAATGCATATAGAATAGATTCCTTTCCTTGGATGAAAGAAGGTAGAGTAAATTAATTAAGTAAATGCATACATACATACCTCCATCCCTCCCTACAGAAAGATGCTACAGAAAATACAAGCCCCATTTGGTTTTTCTTCTTTGTAGCATGGAGCAGATCCAACTAAAAAGAACAGAGATGGAAACACACCTCTCGATTTGGTAAAAGAAGGAGACACAGATATTCAGGACTTACTGAGAGGGGATGCTGCCTTGTTGGATGCTGCCAAAAAGGGCTGCCTGGCCAGGGTGCAGAAGCTCTGTACCCCAGAGAATATCAACTGCAGAGATACCCAGGGCCGAAATTCAACCCCTCTGCATCTGGCAGGTAAGGATCACTGGTGCTACCAAGTCTCCTTTTTTTGTCTTGGATACCTAATATGGTTTACCAAAAGATGAAACCAATGTTAAGCATAAAGGAGACTACTTCATAAAATGCTTTTGATTGACATACTTGTGTATAATTTCTTATTGTAAGGGCTCTCAATTATGCAGTAATAGCATTGGCTTTTGAAACAAAGAGTATTAAAACCATAACATTTTCTGGTCCTTATTATTTCTATACATATATGTATTTTTTTTCTTTTAAACTGACGTGTTTGCCCTTTTTTTTTTTTTTTAACTCTAATAGCAGGCTACAATAATCTGGAAGTAGCTGAATACCTTCTAGAGCATGGAGCAGATGTTAATGCCCAGGACAAGGGTGGTTTAATTCCTCTTCATAATGCAGCATCTTATGGGGTGAGCATGCTAAAGTTCTAGAAGACTTCTCTGACATTTACTACTTCATTAAATACGTACTATGCATTGAGTAAGTAGATAGCTAACCAATAGCATAATTTAGCACAATTTTAATCTTCTGTTCAGAGCTTTTTCTTGCCTTCCAGTTAAGGTTAACTATCTTTTGGCCAATGGCCATGCTTCTTATAGCTTTTTGGTCTGTCCACATTATCTAGCACAGTGATATTTCTTAACTCTCAAGTAGATTTTAGAAACTATAAAAGCCAGGATGCTCCTATATGAACATGGAAATTATAATGGCTTATTTTATCATCAGCATTTTAAAAATGTTTAAGTCGCTGGGCACAGTGGTGCACACCTGTAGTCCCAACTACTTGGGAGGCAAAGGTGGGAAGATCACTTGAGCTCAGGAGTTCAAGGCCAGGCTGGGCAACATAGCAAGATCACATCTCCAAAAAAAAATTATATATTTATATACATATAAATATATATATATATATATATATTCAAGTAAGCAGTTGAGGAACTGGTATATATGATTTCAGAGAGTCCAAATTACTAGCTAAAACCCTACACTGAAAGTCCAGGCTCATCCTTTCAAGCACTGTAACTGTAATCATCAGTTGGAAGAGGAATGTGTTGCAGTGCCTTACAGCTTGTTGGAACTGACTGACAGACAGGAAGTAGCTAAGGCCCACTCAGGCGTGATGAATCACTGCAGTAGAAGAAAGACGGATGCTCTCGTGGTTGTCTCTTCAGCCACGTGATCCCTACTTGACTGTAAAAACTCACAGATGCCAGATTGCACCTACCAGGTGTTCTCACAGTTGGAGCTGCTATTAATGAGGATGGTTTCTAGATTTGCAAAAGGCTGACAAACTATAAATAGAAATTGAACTAAACACCTCGAGCTCCATATTCTTTCTCCCTGCTGTCTCCTCTCCTGCCTTTCTTGATGAGACTGTCCTCATCTTCTCAGATCCATTCTGCAAAGACCAGTGTTTCAGGGAGATGACAAATCTGAGTGGGAATACTTTGAAGAAAGCAAATAATTCGTTTTGAGTTGGACAAACAGCTAAGAAAATTATACTTCCAAGTATAATATAAATTAATTGAAAATATATTTAATAAATGTTATTAGTACTAAAATTCTCTTAAAACTATAGTGTTTAAATTATCTTTCCAAAGATGATTAGTCTTTTACTAAAATTGTTAGAATTTTTAAATCTTTCTTCACATAGGATTCTCAGCTTCACCAAACAACAAATAGTTCTACCAAAGATCTGGCATGCTTAATATTTACAGCTAACATAATGTGTATACATTTACGTATAATCCTTTTACCCTTAAGTTATAACTATACAGGTATATCAGTTGGAGGCTAATTTTTGGCACTTCTTGGCATGATCCTTCTCTCCGTATTGTATTCTACTAATCCGTTTGCTAAGCTTCAGTTAAGAGTATATAAAGCTGATGGGATCAGTAGAACTTAGAGTCTTTTATCCTCTCTGTAAACCTACTGATTTATAAGGATAGGTGGTAGCACTTACAGTAATGACCTGATCTAATAAAGATTGTCATGCTGTCAACTGTGTAGACTACAGTAGATCCCATACATTGGATGTAGGGAAGCTCTATCACATCAGTCTTCATAGCTGTCACAGAGGATAAAGTTTAATTTGTAAAGTATTTTACTTTTAGATCCCCATTCTTCTGATAAGAACAATGTTGAGATGTTACTTATTCTACCTGTGTATCATTTAATGACCAGTGTGAGGGGAATAAAATGTACTGTGGTTCTCTTTTGCGGCTGAAGAGTAATGTAGTGTTCAGGTCAGCCTTGTTTTACTTCCTGTTCACTCGGAGCTGTCTTGCTATTAGCTGAAGAGAGGCAGAATACGATCAGTCTCCCGACCAGAAGTCCACTGTTTCATTCCTCATAAACTGATTTCACCATTATCCATAATTCCTGCTCTTCTTTTCTAACACCAAGTGAGAAAAAATAATGAACACTTTTTCACTGTTTCTTTTTATGTTATCCTGTTTGTTAAATCTCTACTGCTTAGCTTTTTGTAAATGAAGGAACTTACTGAGGAGAAAGTGGAACAAAAAATTCTTCAGGCTACATAGAGGGCATTCGATAAGAGGTTTTGGTTAACCTGGTTCAATCCATCCTTATATTGAAGAATGCAGATAAGAACTAGATAATGTGTTTATCGTAGGTATTTTCACCTCATTGGGTGGATTATTTGAGTCACTCTAAAAAATTCTTCATTTATTAAACTTGTAAATTCAGAAATCTAATATCTGTGAGCTAGTGTCTGTGTACTTACGTTATTCACTAATCCTTTACTTTGGTGGGTTTTTTACCTTTTTTTCTTTTTATTGCCATGTTTTTCACATGTGCAACCCACTCCCCTCAGTAATCTCTCATGATACATGGCGATTCTCAGTTGGCATCCTCCCCATTGAGAACCTCTGCTCTACAAAATAATTTTATTTAATGCCATTTGTAAACTTATGATAGGTAGCCAATCAGTAACCATAGCGAATCAGTATTTCTCTTAATCTCAATGAATAGACTTAAGATGAGGACTAATGTTCATATTTAATACAATATAAAAATTTAAAATTGTTTTATCTTCCCTTAGCTAAAACCTAGATACAACTATGTTTTCATTATCTGTAGATACATAAACCTATCTATCTTTCTAAAGTTCCCTTTTATTCATTCTATACATATGCCTTGGCTGGGTATTTTAATGAAATTATCAGACTCCAGTCTATATTTTTCTATATTGTATTCATCCCATGAATCTGATGAGGCTTGCACTGGCCTAGCCACATATATTCATTTTGAGGAGACTTCCTGTGGCACTTTATTTGGAAGAGTGGCTTCTATACTAAACGTGAAGCAATTCGTAGAGCAGTTGGAGGTAGAGTGTTACCCAGCGATCTTGACTTAAAAGATTTCTCCCTAATATCATACACTCTTCCATTTTCAGCTTGCCAGGAAAATGGCTCTTGTGTTTCAGTCTAGCAAGATTCCTGCAGGCATCTGTGGTGTAATGGAAAACCCTAAACTTGAGATCTGAACATCTGGGATCTAGTCTTTACTCTTCTGTTCAATAACCTAGTAGTCTTCAGAAAGTGCCTCACTCTTTCTAATCTTCAGTTTTATCACTAGTAAAAGTTGAGTGCTGAGACCTTCTTTTCAGGATATTGTAATGATTACATGAGACTGTGCATGTGGAAAGTGCATTCTTTAATCAAAGGCCCTGTAACAAATACAAGGTAATCTGTTACTATAAAATTACTCACTTCCCACAGTTCATGTGCGGAGCCAATCAGAGTAAGGGCTGCGTGTCACTCCTTCATCTCACAGCCTTAGAAATACTCTATATATTTGATCAGTTCAATATCAGTATTAATTGCACAGATTGACTAGTCTGGGGAAAAAATAATAATATGAGATGTCTGTGAAATTGCATAGTTATTTCCTTATGCAGTTATTTATTGGTAATTATACCTTGATGCATATTTACTATTTTTCCTCTACTAAAGAGTTCAGTCTGCTCTCTGTGTCTCTTTGGTCCTTTTCTATATAAAAAGGTCTTGCCACCTCAGTTTTTCCAAATGGAAAAACAAACATTAAGAAGCTTAAATGAAAGTTATAAGTTTCATGAGAACTAATAGTAATAGTAACATGGCCTTATTCTCTTTAGTGTTCTTTATATCATAATGCCTTGTATTATTTTTAATACATGTTTACACAATTTTTCTGCTATTAAGTAAATGTAAAACATTGATATTTATTACCACAAAGCATGTAATTTTCTATTATAAGAGTGAATCAATTGGCTGATTAGTTTTTCTCTCTCAGCTTTTGTATTTTCTCTAAAATGGATAATATTTGGGGCATTTCATGGCATCATTGTAAGAAAGCCTCTGAACAATTAAATGGCTTTAACTGGAGCCCAAGCAGGATTCTCCCCTTTACTTCCCACCTTTTTGAAATTAAAGCCTTCTCAGTCTTTTTGTGTTATATTTGTCATATAAAATATTTTGTGTTCCAGCTGTATCATGAAACTATATTAAATTGGCTCTTTCTCCTGGAAACATTCCAGCAGACTTCAGTTCTATTTCTAGACCTTCCAGTTCAATACTTTGTTTTTACATACTGTATTGAATAGAACTGAGCTATGGCTGGTTTATTGCACTTGTCAGCCTTAAATTTCAGTTACTATTTTTGCCTCGTGGTATAGCTGTTTGAAAGAATTAAACAGCTTAAGAATTGTGTTTTTAGTCTACTTGGGTAGTAATATACTCTTTCCTGTTCATTGCCCTTTTAGGCATTTGTCAGCACATCTAACAAGCATATAATTGGCTTCTCCAAGCATAAACTATAAATTCAATATAAAAAAAGTTTAATCATATAGTCCAGATACACAATTCATTTTATACACACATACACAAACACGTAATTTTTCCTGGACTATCTAATTTTGGAAGCCTATGTAAATTAGTCTACCGAATTATATTATTCTGCAAATAAACATGGGAATAGAATAAAAGTAATCATCAGAAACAGTTTAAATAGCTTATAACTTCACTGACAGAAGCTTGAAGTTATTTCATGCTTTTAGATTAACTTAACAAAAATTGCTCTCTTTTCTCAATATATATATATATTTGATATGAATTAAGGGAAATAAATTACTAGGTTTGAGTTTAAGTAATTTTGATAGTACCACAGACGGTACCTCTGTTTTCATCTTTTGTGTTAGAAAGTCTAAAAAATTCAACTATAAATCAATTTTATAATGATCCCAAAAGGATCACAAAACATTACCTCTTCTCAGAAGCCCGAGTCAGATTGTCTGATTGTGTTGTTGGGTTTTTGGTTTTTTGGCTTTGTGTTGTCAGAGCAAATGTGGAAACTTGTTAGGAGTTAACTGATCTATACTTTTTAAATTTTCTTCATTTTGTTTTTCACAATTACTCTTCCCCAAATTAGTAAATACAACTAGGTATTCGTGTTATATAAAACTTTAATACTACCTCAGAAAAAGTGCCTGTTCTTTTTGAAGTGTCTTCAGAAATGCAGAGAAAATAATATATTAAGGAAGTTATGAAGTAACATGCCTTAAATCACATCTTGGGATCTTTCTTTCTTTACCTTCCCATTCTCAGAAACATCCGCTTAAAAAAACTCAATTTATTGTAGTTGGTACTAGCATAAATTAGAAATGTGTTCCCAACAGATAATGTGCATTAATTATCAAAAGTGATCAAGTTATACCAGGAAATATATCCATAAGGAACACAAATATGCCAATCACACAAAATTATAGAATATGAAATTGATATAGATTTCAGAAATACTTCAGTGGTAACCAGCCTAGCATCTCTAAATATGTTTATAAAAATATACAAGTTATTTTTAATATTCTTAAAAGCCTAATTGTTACATCAGTATTACTTATACATAATCAATTAGCTTATTTCATAGGGACTTTTGGGAAGAAGCTGAAACCTTTTGCCATGTAGAGCTATCATTAGTTGAGAAAACCTTTCTCCTTGGAACTTCTCCTACATTGGGTTTTATAGTCCGAAAATTCTGTGGTGCTTATTTTTCCTTTTGTGCCCTCTGAGGACTCTTCCATTCTCCTTTTCCAAAATGTTGTTTTTCAATGCATTATCCCCTTTGTAATTATCTTCTCATATTCCTTTTCTTAGGGAGCTCATTATCAAGTGGCTACATCAATTAGTCCAGTATTCTGTTTTGTAATCTCCCTAGAGTCCATGCCTCCAATGCCAGGACCTTCATAGGTACTCAGCAACTGTTTGGTTGGTGGGAAATGGGCAGGAGAGTTAAATGAATAACCAATGATGTCCTCTTAATTGTACTCTAGCCTTTTCTGTCAAGCCATTTATAGAACCCTCAGAAGCTACCTACCCCAAGTGAACCTTACCTTGCTTAGAGTTTCATACCTACTTAAACTTCTGTGATTCCAGTTCTGTTTGTAGTTCTACCTTTGTTTTTTTAATCTAGATTCCCCCCAAGAGTAGTAGTTATCTTTGACTTTTCTGTCTCTTCTTCTGTTGTGAATTTGTCTTTCTAAACCCAATTTTTTTTTCCTTCAGAATTTCTCAGATTTAGCCCTTCTTGCCCATTCTTCTGTTACCATCACAGTTCGGAGTTCTTATCACCTCATGCCTGGGTTATTAGCGTGTCTGCTGCTAACACTTCCTCACCCCTAAATCATTGTGGACATGACAGACTATAATAATTTTTGTAAAATATTTTAATATGTTACTTTTTCAAAGTATAAGAAAAAACATTAAGAATCTTTGAAGTGAGTGTTTTAATAAATAGATCAGATTGTGATAGGTTAGAAGAAAAATGTGAAGATAAAAAGAGAAACTGTGTGTAGAATGCTCATTTGAAAAGTTTGGCAGATAAATTAGACCATTAATACAGAAGATGAGGTCAGGTACTAGTTTCACTTTACACATTTGTGTTTAAAATAAAACTAAATGTGTTAGAAGGCTGAATTAAAAAAAAAAGCATAAATACTTACAGGGTAAAAGAATATTGTAGAATAATTGGAGGAGGCAAGAAAAGATAGAATCCACAGTATAGGTGGATGGATGAAATGCTCTTTTTTTGTTTAGAGGAAACTTATTTATTAAGGATAAGAATACAGATATAGAGTGTGAATCATTAAATAAAAACAAGTGTACATGATAGTACATCTAATATGCTAGATGGTCTCTTTCTTAACTTTGTATATCCTTTTGTTTTTCTTCAGCATGTTGACATAGCAGCGTTACTGATAAAATACAACACATGTGTAAATGCAACAGATAAGTGGGCATTTACACCTCTTCATGAAGCAGCCCAGAAAGGAAGGACCCAGTTATGTGCCCTCCTCCTAGCACACGGTGCAGATCCAACTATGAAGAACCAGGAAGGGCAGACACCTCTAGATCTGGCAACAGTAAGTCCTCATTTCAAATGCTCAGTGTTCACTACACTTTCAGAGATGATGACAGACATTAAATTCTAGGGCTCAGCAGGTTTACCTTTAGCAGTGCTCATTTTGCTTAGAATAAGAACAAAGATTTCCTTCTGTACATTTTTGAGGTTGTATGCTTTTTATATGAAAACATAATTTAAAACTGTTAAGGCAAACTAAACGGTAAGTTAACTTAATTTTTTTTGCCCTACTTAGCCTGGTGGGAAAACATGAATCATAAGAAAACACATTTCTGAAGCGTATCCTCAAAGAATTACACTTAGTAAAGTATCTTGTACCTTTTATGTTATTGTAGAACAAGTAATGTTCATGATAATTTATCTGTGAGATAGTCAAAGAAAAATTAACTCTGGGTGGTATATTATTCTAACAAAGATGGAAAAGCAAATTATATACTGTAGAAATACTTTCCATACCAAGAGTTAAAATTTTGTGGTTAAATATTATCTTAACCACAAATTATAATTTTTTAAGCCAGAAATAGTTTTCCAAGTTACATTCTGTTTCATTTATTTATTGCTGAATAACAAACTGTTTCAAGACACTCAGTGACTTAATGTAATAATGATCTGTTATTAGGATTCTGAAACATTGGCTAGAGGGTTCTTACACTGATGTCACCCTGGGTCACTAGTACAGCTGCATAGAGCTGGTGGTGAGAGCGGAAACATAAAGATAGCCTCACTCATTGCCTGGGTCCTGGGCCGAGATGGCTAGAGGGATGGGGCCTCGGCATCTGTGTTGTCCCCATAAGCCATGTCATCATTAGATAGTCTTGCTAGAATTTCTTTACAGAATGATTGCATCTCCAGAGAGAAAAAAAGCAAAAGCTGCCATTCGTCTCTAAGGCTAAGCCTGGAACTGAGATGCTGTTCCTTTCTACAACACATTCTGTTGTGCATAGCAAGTCATCAGTTCAGCCCAGATTCGAGGGATTAGGGAAATAGACCCTATCTTTGAAAGGAGAAGCAAAAACTTTGTGGCCTATTTTAATCTACCGTACTTCTCCCTATGGATACAAATTACTTACATTTTCCCCACATTCAAACTGTATTCATGCTCCCTCCCCCCAAGAGGAGGCAGATAGCCATCACTAGGCCATAGCAATTCTGAAATCCAGCCAGGCACATGTGGTCAGGGCCATCTACTCTGGAGTCGGGGAATGGTCCCTGATTAGGACCTCATTCTGTTCCCAGAGAATAGTTTTCCATAGCTCTTGGCTATCCCCTCTGATTCATCCTTCTCTTTCCATAAGAAATAGCCCATATTTACAGCTAAATGGCTTTCTTAACCTGTTCTCTGCTCCTAGAAATCTGGGGTCCCTGAGCCTTTTTTCATTTTGAGCTATCTGTCCCTTTTAGTCCAAACTGGTGTAACTCCTTTATAAACTTTTGGCTTTCCCATCAAGTTGTATGTCACTCCATCAGACAAAAGCCCCAGCTACACATCTCCTCAAGATTGGTCCCTTTCTAATTTGGATTGCAAGTCAAGGTGCTTGTGGGACATTGCCCGAAGATTCTCAGAAGTGCTTTCATCTAGCTGAGAGAGTTCAAAGGCACCACTTTAAAGGTCTTTTTAAGACTTTTAGGTAATAATATCCATAACTTATGAGTTGATTTTTACTCTGAGGACATGTTTTATTTTCAGCACCCCGAATATGACCTTTGGCCTAAAGCATTTTTTTACTTTGAGAAATTTTGCTGGTGGAGAGTCTGGGAATGATGAATAATTTTATTTTCTAAAGTACCAAATCCTGGTGAAAGTATTTCCTTAAAGAGATCTAAACAGTTGCTTTCTTAGTTCATTTCTCTCTTCCTATACTTTATCAGGCAGGTAAAACAAGCCAGTCCAGTTAGCAGAGTCAGCGTTCTTCCTGGAAATCTCCTTAGCCAGATCCCCAAGTTTATTAGGTTCATTTTCTGCCTTCCATAATTCCTCATGTGCGAGCATCACCAAACATTCCACGACACAGCATCAGTGCCCCTTTCTCCAGCCTTCACTAGCACTTGCCTAACTACCTTCCACTAATAGTCACCTTGCCACCCTCGTGCCTCCAACCAAAGCCACATGTCCAGTAGCCCCCTACTTCCAGGTACCAATTTCCATGTCATTTCTCTATTGCTGCATAACAAGCTGTACCAAACCCTAGTGAGTGTTTTAACATAACAGTGTATTGTTTTTCATAGTTCTGGGAGTGGACTAGGCTTAGCTGGGCAGTTCTGCTGTCTGTACAGCTACTTTAGCTGGGGACTCGGCTGAGGCTGGAGCTTCCAAGATGGCCTTTCATCCTGCAGGGCTCTCTGCATGCAGGATCTCATCGCTCAGTAGTCTAGCTCCAGCCCAAGCTTCTGTGCAACATGGTGATGGCTCCGAGAGAGTAAAAGTAGACACTGCCAGTTCTCTTAAGGCCTGGCTCAAAAGCCCCAGAATATCACTTCTGCATTCTATTGGTCAAAGCAACTCACAGGGAAAACTAGGTTCAACGGGAGGGAAATAGAGGTGGCTTGCAGGTAGGAGGAAGGAGTTGATGGCTGGCTATCTTTGGAGACTATCTCCTGCATACTCCAACACCAATTACAGGCTAATACTTACAAACTGTAAAATTCATGAATAAATGAGTCAAATTAAAGTGTCACCCCTTTAAAATTTCACTAGATGTTAATTGTACATTAAATTATTGTGTGCACTAAATAACTGAAGATTATTGTAGTTTAAGCATAAACAAAATATAGTAAATATGGAAATTTCTTCTAAAGAAGAATGAGAATCAACACTCTAAAAGTGCTTTTCTTTAAATGGAAGAAGTATTTTTAAAGATTACACAGTTTCTCTTGTATCTACTGAAACTACTGAGACTCTTTAGGGCTGTGGATATGAGAAGGAAAGAGGAAGGAATGATCAAAAATCAATAGGAAATAATGAGGCTTTCATTAAGGAAAATATTTACAAAGAATTTGATCCTTAGTTATAAAAATACTATATTTTAAAAAGGTAAGTTTTTTTTATGTTTTTTTTTAATTATTATTTTTAGGCTGACGATATCAGAGCTTTGCTGATAGATGCCATGCCCCCAGAGGCCTTACCTACCTGTTTTAAACCTCAGGCCACTGTAGTGAGTGCCTCTCTGATCTCACCAGCATCCACCCCCTCCTGCCTCTCTGCTGCTAGCAGCATAGATAACCTCACTGGCCCGTTGGCAGAGTTGGCAGTAGGTGGAACCTCCAACGCAGGGGACGGCGCAGCCGGTGCAGAAAGGAAGGAAGGAGAAGGTGAGTATATCCTGTCAGTGCTTATTTATTTATGCTTTTTTATAATGGAACAGATTCACTTTTTTCTATTGGTAATTATTGAACACCACCTCACTTAGTAAAGACATCCTGTCTGTAAATTTTCATACACATGTCTTATAAGAAATACTTCTTCATAGAAGACTGCCAGATTCCTTGGCATCTACATTGTTCTTATTTATATTCTAGGATGTCTATTTCCAACTGTAGTATCTCAATGAACTACTGAGTGGGTCTTATTATTGAAATTATATCAGCAAACAACTGAGAGGTCATTGAAGAAATGAAAATTAAATAGCTGATATATTTGAATTTTTCGATTCATTAAAATCATTAGATTATCTTGTATAAAATATTTTATATTAGAATTATAATAGTCTATACTTAAGTTCTTATATTATAATCTATAATGTTATGCTAACTACATTATAATATAAATATTATAAATCTGATAAAGAAAATACTTGTCAACCTAATTCAGAGATAACTTGAAGCATCTGAATTAAGTTTATGTATTCTGTATTATTTTATGCCACGTAGAATCACCTGTATAGCCAAGGGTGTCAGAAAGCCATGGCTTTAAATAGATACTAAAACTTCCTTTAGATTCATAAAATTCTTTCTGAGAAACTTTAGTATGTTCTGTTTTAGTTGCGGGTCTTGACATGAATATCAGCCAATTCCTAAAAAGCCTTGGCCTTGAACACCTTCGGGATATCTTTGAAACAGAACAGGTAAACTTTCTTGTATATATTTGAATCTTTTTAATTAAATATTAAGAGTTATTAATAGCCACCCACTCTTTCTCTTCTGCTTCTATGTATTTCTGTAGAAGCCAAGGGAACCTAGTATGTTATACTCTCCCCAAAATTGTCTAACAGATGGGAGTCTTTAATTGTTGTTTTATTTTTATAAGCAGTCTGGCTCTATACATTTTATTGCATGTCAGAACTTAGGCTATGAAACCACCTCAAAAGAAATGTTTTCAAAATTGTCTTTGGTTGTTTTGTTTCCAAAAAGTGGTGTCATTTATTCATCACATTTCACACTACTGATGTGACTAGACACTTAAAGTGATTGCCCATTAATTTGGAAAGCAAAGTAATACTTAAAAAGGTAGAACATGGAGAACATTAAGTAGTAAAATTTTATCTTCCTGTGATGAGTTTTTTGACAAAAAATAAAAAAAAAAAGTAGTAAAATTTTCATGAACCAACTGCAGGGTTTTGATTCACGTGGCCCCAGGGTCAAAACTAGCCTGAGTTAAATACAACTCACGTGGCAGTCAATGTGTTAAATGTTGAACCAAAAATTGGCCATATACTCTAATAAACTCATTCTATTTTCAGACACATCTTAAATGTCTTTGAAGGGCTAAATATGAAGTCGTCATTAGGGCATTTATGAATTAGGATCCTTCTGTTTGCTGTGCTGTTTTTACACAGGATAATGAGTTTTTGACTTGATATTGTATAGTTTTATTACCGTATTGTTAAATATCAAATGATAATAAGTTCTTGAGTTTAAACTGAGTATTATTGATATACAGGGAATCTTAGGATGGGAAAAGTGTTTAGAGATGATTATGTCATTCTCCCAGGTTTAGAAAATCACCTTTTTAACATCCATGTCAGTCCTCCAGCCAGGGAAGATAACTTGTTATAGTTCGAAGCAGGTATAATAGAATGCTTGTAATTTAAAGTATACTAAATGTATAGATAATCCATTTGGTTTATGTTTATGCTTAGCCGGTTTTGCTTAGAAATCTAACCTCAAGTCCACCAATGTTTACGTTTCATAGGGCTGCCATAACAGATTACCGCAAACTTGGTGGCATAGCAGAAATTTCATTCCCTCACGGTTCTGGAGGTCAGAAGTCTGAAATTAACATGTTGGCAGGGCTGTGCTCCCTGTAGAGGCTCTAGGGGAGGATCCATTCCGTGCCTCTTCTAGGTGCTGGTGGTCAGCAGCTTCCTTGGCTCGTCGTGGCCACACTATTTTGGTCTCTGCTTCGATCTGTACATTGCTTTGTCCTCTGTCTTCTCTGTATGTCTCTTATAAGGACACTTGTGGTTCAATTTAGGACCTACCAATACAATCCTGGATGATCTCATCATCTCAAGATCTCTTACATTTGCAAACACCTTTTTTCCAAACATGGTAACATTTAGGCGGTGAGAATTAGAACTTGAACACATCTTGAAGGGCCACCACTGAGCCCAATACAATATAATAGAGTCCTTCATATCTTTTCAAGGCCTGGTCAACTTAACAGAGATGTTTAAACCACCCACCTCTACAGATCTTCCCATATTTTAGAATAAGTCTACCTATTTATTTCAATATTATTTATATGACATAGTTTCCAAATTCTTCTTTGCCCATTCTGGTTTCTTTCTAGGCTTATAGTCAATAGGGAGTTAATTCAAAACCCAGGCTTTTTCTTTTTCATATCAGTTATACTGTTAAGATTTTCTTGTGCCTTTTCATATTTTTGTAGCTAAATAAACTTCTTATATTGTTTATTGTAGTTCCATCTTCAGTGTTCTTAACATCCAAAACAGTTAATAGATATAACATTGGACTAAAAGAACAACTTGATTCTAGTTATTTTCACCTTCTTACTAGCTGTGTAGAGTTGGCTTAAAAAGCATTTGATCTATCACTTCCCTTACCTATAAAATACTCGCTAATGTCCAGATAGTTAAAATTTCCATTCATATTATGCTTCTGTGTCAATTTATAAAATTATAGACTGCTGTAATCATTTCCTCGTCCTACCATTTATTCTTCTTCTGGTTTGGAGATTTCTTATGAGAATATCTTAAACAGTAAGAATCCTTTTCTGTTATTCCTCCCTGAAGGTATAAATGCTACTTTAAAAGCATTATATTCTGTTATAACCATATTACAACCACATCTCTTCTTCCTAAATCATATCCACAATAATTGTGAAATGTTAAACATATCTTCACTTAATAAACCAAAGACCCTAATTCAAATAAATGACTCCAATTGACTGTTGAAAGTTTTCCAAAGAACATAATTTTTTCTTTTTCAGTTTATATTGTATATTTTCTGTCAGTAACTGACTTCCTGTGGTATTTTTGTCTCATTTTATTTATTTTAATAGTTTGGTGTCCCAGTCGGTCCTTCTGACAGCTTATCCTGGTTTTATCTGTTTCATTGTCCTTATTTCACTGCAGTCTTGTTCTGAGTAAATGGTTCCATTGATTTTCTTTTGGCCAGAATAACTTCTATGTCCTTTTCTTGACCAATATGTTGACTATTACATTTAATGTATATAACCTAGCACAGTTCCTTTCCTCCAGACAAATGATAGTACCTTTTTTGTGTGTCGAGCTGTGCTTAACTATCCTCTGGCAGCAAGCAATCAAATTTATTTTATTTTAATTGTAAATATTTGTCTAGCTTTCAGTTATAAAGTAATAAATTTGGTAACCCTTTCTCTAACTTATGCTCAGAATTTTCTCCCATTAACATTCTTTATCAGGCCAGTAATATGTAGTAATAGTCAACATATTTGTGTAGTGGGGGAAGAGTGGAGGTGCATGCATTGTACCTACTTAATTCATGTTTGTTTACCTTAAGCCAGCAAGCCATTCTGTTTCCTAAGATGCTTTGACATAATTAAATGTCTATTGCCTCTGTTTCTACTCATGCATACTTCTTTCCCAGTGGGGTGTGGACTGTAGTTATTTTATTTCTGGTTCCAGAGAGAGACCTCCTTCAGAGTGTCATAGCCTCAACTTTCCTCAGTTATTTTCTCTGAAATCTCTCAACTCAATTGTCTTGTTTCCCATAGATAATTGGCCAAGTTCTATACTAAATAATATATACCTATATCCTTTATCATTAATACAGTACCAGCATGACTTTGGTCTTCCTTTATAACATAGCTTCCTACCTAGAATACTTTTTCTATGGGAAAGACAGATCTGATTTACATTGCAATTCCTGGACTGTAAATGCTATGACTTGGAAGACTACTTTGTGAATGTATTTATGGTCAACCCATATATTTTCATGGAAAGTGACCATATAAATTTTGATTTCAAAATTCCTGAAGACAAAGGCATGGCCTCAACTAAATTCACCGTGAACATGATTGTAAAGTTAGTTCTTACAACCACTACTCTAGCCTGCAACCTTTTAAAGCCAAGTAAAAGAAAGACTTTTTCCATTAAAACTCTAATTTTCTCTCCGAACCCCAGGTAAAATGAACAGATCTTAGAAGCTAGAGGCAGCCCTCCTTGAAGTGACATTGGCTTTATATCCAAGATGATTTTAACTGATACTGGATAATTTTTACTCTTAAGATTATAATTTCATTTTATTTATTTATTTGAGACCAGTCTCACTTATGTTGCCAGGGCTAGAGTGCCATGGCGTCAGCTTAGCTCACAGCAACCTCAAACTCCTGGCTCAAGCGATCCTCCTGCCTCACCGTCCTGAGTAGCTGGGACTACAGGCATGAGCCACCATGCCTGGCCTAAGATTATAATTTTATTTTAATATGTGCTAGATATAAATAACTAGCCCAACAAACTTACAATTTCCTGGATGTAATTTAATTTAAAGATGATTTTCAGAAAAATAGTTCTAGCAGTTTACAGGGATATATAAAAGCCTGAATCTTGGAACATGTCTATAATCCAACTAACCTACTTTCCTTCCAGATATTTCCCTTTCTTTTATTGATAGTATTATGTCATACTCACCCAGCTTCAGAATTTTAGAATACTGTTTAATTACTTTCATTCATTATTTTTAAAACCATTTCTATTTGCCAGGCCGTCTGTTCTCCATTTAAAATTACTCCCAGATTCATCCCTTCCATGCCACTCCATCTTCTTCCCAATCACTTTCTCTTCCATGTCTGCCCTTCATAATACCACCAGTTTCCTCCTCCTAAAATACAACTTGGATTGTGTTACTCTGCTGAAATGACTTCCCAAGGCTTTGGGGGTACTTTCTAAGCAAGGGATGGGTCTCAGGAGGTGGGAATCACAGAGTCTGTCTGCCACAACATGGCAGCTGCCTCTCAGAGGGTGAGCAGTCCAAGGGAGTGCATGCCCAGGATGAAAGCCACAGTCTTTTTATTACCTAATGTGAAGAGTAACATCCCACCACTTCTGTTGTATTATATTTGTTAGAAGTGAGTCTGTAAGTCTGTCCCTCGCTCCGGAGGAAGGGATTATAACGAGGACACAATCCCAGGAGGAGGTGGGGGTCACTGAGCCATTTTATGGCTGCTGTCCACAGAAGCTGTGAGGCCTCCTCTCACCCTTGCTTTCTGTGTGACTTGATATCACTCGATCACGGGTTTTGTTGCATTAGTTTGGATTTTTTGCATTCATTTTATGATTGGAGCTGTATGATGAACAAATATGTTAAATACTCTCTAGGGCATTATGGAGAATACTGTGTATTGCTGCCCTGGTTTATACTTGCTCAAATATGTACTATTTGTATCCATTCAGAAAAGTTTGAGAATGCTTTGAGTTGAAGTTACCACGTAGATGTGAGATCCTGTTTTTATGTGAACCTTATTTAAACTGAAGTTTAGAATATTTAGAAGAAAAAAATAAGACATCAATAATATGGTTTCCAAATTATATTAAAATCATATCTAGCTAAAAATGTAAAAGCTCCTATTATTCTGTGAACTATTATGTCTCATAGATGTATGTTTCAGAGCTGTTGCTTTTTAAAAGCTCTGCTGAAACCTTCCTTTGGGTGTTTGGAAGTGAATTGCCCATTTTGTGCAATGGAGCAATTATTTCTTAAGTGGCCACTTAGAGGCAATATAGTAAATTATTTCCAAAGAATGAGTGATGTATGCTCATTGCACTGAGAAGATTAAACTCATTATATAATATTTCATTCTGACAATAAAAATCAGAAGAGCTTCAGGCTTAATTTGTCCGTTTTTTAAATGTCATATATAAGTTAAATGTAGAAAAAGCTATGGATAGATAAAAATTTTATCTTACTTGAGTTGTAAAAGGAGTGCATATAAAAGGATGTCTCTGTTTTCCAAGGAACGAGAAAATCAAGGGCGAATCTTATAGACTAGTGTTTGGATTGTCACAGGGCCAGCTTCTGGGCTAGAAAATTGCATGTTCAAACCCTCAAGAAATGGGCTGCCCCAAGTGTCCTCCTGTGTGTGCAGAACACAGCCACTAGGTGGTAGTAGAGTCACAGTGACTTTAGCCCACAAAGGAACTAGGTCATTTTGAGCCAACTAATCATTTCCATCTACAGGGATGAATAACCAAAAATTAAAAACCACTATGTTGTATAAAAATAGAATATATTTTAGGCAGCAGGGATTGTTATATCTGCAAATTTATAAGAGAGCTTAGAAGCCTCTATTCTCTTTTCTTGGGTAAATTCAGGTCTGTAATCTACCTGAACTCTTGAGATATAAACCTCACTACTTTCTAAGGCAGCCTGTTCCAGGCTTGAATATTTCTTAGCACTAGGAAGTTCTTCCTTATCTTTATGTGAAGTCTGCTCACCCTTCTTGCCACATTCCGATCAGATGTGCTAAACAGTTCTCTCTCTCCTTGCCATCCGCTGCTACTGCCTGCTGGATACCAGGATCTGGCATATCCCCATTTTCAAGCTACTGATTCATCCTATATCCTGAAGTAAGCAGAAAATGGTAGAATTAAATAATCAAAAGGAAATATCTCAATGATCATTTTGTATTTCTATAGTGTTATTTCTGCCCTTTTTAATTCTCCACTGACCAAAACAAATTAAGTGAGCCAAAAAACTGATAAAGCTCTCAAGGCAACTTTTAAAAAGATTGTAAGTTTATGCCTATGCAGGGAACAAAAGAATTTTCTTAATTTTAATGTTAATCATAGCTTGTAGACAGACAGAAGAGCTTTTGTCCTTTTAAAGAAATGTTAAAGGTTTACCAAACTAGGCCAAGGTGGCTCACACCTATCATCCTAGCACTTTGGGAGGCTGGGGTGGGAGGATTGCTTGAGCCCAGGGGGTTGGAGACCAGCCTGAGCCAGAGCAAAACCCTGTCTCTACAAAAAATAGATTAGCCAGGTGTGCCTGTAGTCCCAGCTATTTGGGAGGCTGAGGCAGGAGTATCACTTGAGCCCAGGAGTTTGAGGTTGCAGTGAGCTATGATGACACCACTACACTCCAGCCTAGGCAACGGAACAAGACCCTCAAAAAAAAAAAAAAAATAGACTTACCAACTAATTTTGTTTTATTTTTCAGATTACACTAGATGTGTTGGCTGACATGGGTCACGAAGAGTTGAAAGAAATAGGTATCAATGCATATGGGCACCGCCACAAATTAATCAAAGGAGTGGAAAGACTTTTAGGTGGACAACAAGGTGAGCTACTCAGAAAACAGTAAATTTCAGGAATTAGTGGTACAAGATAAATGTCAAGGCTGACGTTTGAACTAACGTGGTATCTCCTGCCTTCCCCGTCTCAGTCATTGGCGTCATGCTCCCTCCAACTGGAAATGTCTGGGAGTCAGTCTTCCCTCTCTTCCCACACTTCATATCCTAAATTTCTCTGTACTCTGTCCTTTCCCACTACTGTCAACTATTCCAAGCCACATTGTCTCTCCCCTGAACTATCCAGCCACCCTCCAGTGTATCACCAGTCTTCACCTTTCCCTTAAGCCAGTATCTTCCCTACACTGTAAACGCAGGACTCTTTTTCAAAATGAACATGTGATCATATCACTTTTGTTGCTTAAAACCCTTCCATAGAAGCCTGTTGCTTTTAGAGTAAAATCAGACATTTGTGATGGCTTTTTCACAGTCCGACCTTTCTCCGTCCTTCTGGACTGTCAGCTCAGTCCTTTTCCATTGCACTTTGCTGTTGCAAGCCTCTTATCTTTCCCTTCGTCCTTGTCATGTCCCCGTTTCTCAGAAGAGCTGTCACTATGGGAAAACAGGGAAGAGAAAGAAAACAACTTGAATACATCAATCAAGTAATCTACATAGCTAAAAAAAAAAATTGCAAGAGTTATTTGAAACTAAAATTTAAGAGGTTTTGAGCTTGAGTCTTGTTTATTTATCTCTATTTTTGTCCATCCATGAAATTAACAAGAATAATGTATTTTAAAGCTATTGTAACAGCTGTTTCAAGCCATCTCATAAGAGTTTTTAGAGGATAATTCTTAAGCTTTAGACCCGACTACATTATAATTTTAGTTTGTGTTTCTCTTGTGTTAGCCATAGTTCATTTCAACAAGTAACTTGTTGAGCCCTGCTGTATGCACAGGGAGCTCTCTAAGGACAAAATCGATCCCCAAACATCTCCATTTCTTCTCTTGTCTTTGGGTGTATTTATTTAATATAACCTTATATATTAGGTTCAAATTATAAATAGTTAAGGCTTATTTCAAAATGTCCATTATTTTTGACAGATTTCCCTAAAATAGAGCCCGAGTAGTGTGGACATTAGTTTTATATGTTAATTTTTCTCCCCTGCAGGTACCAATCCTTATTTGACTTTTCACTGTGTTAATCAGGGAACTATTTTGCTGGATCTTGCTCCAGAAGATAAAGAATATCAGTCAGTAGAAGAAGAGGTAATGCACATCGAAAATCTTTAATTTTCTTTTCCTGAAACCTGTGGTTAAACCTATTTTTCTAGGGGAGTTACCATCTCATGTTAATAATGTCTTGTGGTCACTTGCCTACCTATTATTCAGTCTCCCTTAGTCATTGTGGTGGAATATTGCCAAAATTAAAGTATGACCGTGGATTATAACTATGCCACATCGAGTAAGCCTAGGGTTTGCAATTAATGGGGCAGAGCTGTCCTTTTATTCTGGAGATTTTCTTGAAACTTACGCAAGTAAGGATCCTATTCCAGCTATTTCCTTATAGTGCTACCCAAGAATGATATGGAGTGACAATCTTGCCTCATAGATAGCAAATATCTTCTGATCTTTATTATGCAGGTATAAAATGTGATTATAAAATAATGTGCCTAATTTGTATGTATGCTTCTGAGTCTGTGTCATGTTTCATTTCTCCAGTCACAATTATTCTAAGCTCCATATTAAGGCTATTTGTATGGACCCTCCTGGTAGACAGATGCCATGGAGAGTCCCTCTCCACTGATTATTATGGGTAAGAAGTGAGGCATAAGCTAAGTGCCTAATTCCATTTTTATAAGCTGCCTAATTCCATCATTATGCAAACACCTAAGCAGAAAAAGGTATGCTTACATTTTGGGGTTTTTTTTTTTAGCTAGTTGCCCATTTTATTCCGATTCTCATGCTAGGAAGTCACATTAGGAAACTCAGGACCATACCCTGGGGCAGTATATCAGCTCCTACTTAGCCAGCTTATCAGGAAGACATGTGTTCGTTCTAGTGTCTTATTACCTCCTATTCCCCCAGTAGTTAGTATAATAAATTCTGAGAATAATGTCAAAAATATAGTGACTCTCTTCACAGGTAAAGCACTGAGATAGAAAATTTACTCTGTGAGTTCTATGAGAAACTTAGGGCTTTAAAATATTTTTTTCCATAATAATCGTTTTTAATTTGAAAAGTGGAAGAAGGATGAGCAGTGGTCAGAAGAAAATTATTCCCTTTAGTGAGACATTATGGTCAACTTCCCTGGTCTGTGCAGGTATACTGAGAGACCCCAAGTTAAAGACTATTGAGATAGGTGATCTGTTGGCAAATGTGCCACCAGCTGTCTGATCTGCAGGACCATAAGTTTATTTTGACTCCTGTCTCATTATTGTTCAAGAACAATTTCAAAATGCTTTACCAGATGTTAAAACACCTGTAGTTAAGAATGGGAAACATCCCCTTTATCTAATGTCAAATAAATAATTAAGACTGTTGAGATAATATGGAACATTTCACCTAGGAAACAAAACTATTGATTTTTTTTTAAATTACTGTTTATTTTTGGCATTTGCCCAGTGGGTATTAATTTGAATGTGAGTTTTTGCTTGGCTTAATCACAATGTTGCTTCTCATTCTCAATAACATAAAATAGTAATTGTAAATGATTTAATGTGATATTTTTTCTATGTTTACAGAAAAATCTTTCAGAGCTTTTATTTAAAAATAAATCAAAAATGCATAAATATTTATGTTTGTGACTATTTTCTCACCAGAAGTACTTATCCACTAAACTTAGTGATTTATAATGAACTCCTCTTTATTTGTGCTTGAGTTTTAGGCTTATGAGTAAAATAATGAATTGAAATATTAAACAATGGAAAGCATGTCTTTATACACTGGTATATTTTCATAAAGATAGTTATTTTGTTCTATAGATGCAGAGTACAATTCGAGAACACAGAGATGGTGGTAATGCTGGTGGCATCTTCAACAGATATAACGTCATTCGAGTGAGTTTAAAAATTTAGATTGCCTGAAAATCAGATCTAGACAATGAAAAATTTTTTTAAAAGTCAATATTTTCAAACTGTCAAAGATAATCCATCAGATTAATACTTTCATCACCGAGGTATCTCTAACCCCAAGATCATACTTCACTAGGAATAAAGGGCACCCTGAAAACACCAAGCTGCAAACAGAAGGCTGCTCAGCTTGTACTGCTGATGCACGTGGGGCAGGCCTCTCTCCCTGCTCATCCACACATTCGGGCCATAGCTGACAGTTTTTTTTTTTTTTAATCATTTGAAAGTAACATGAAGGCCTGGATATTCAGTCTAATTGAATCATTGATTATACCAGAATACATACATCTCTTAATCTTAGTATCTTAATTTATAATATGGAACAGATAATTTTATATGCTTTTTTTCAAAGCGATATCATAAAGATGGAGTTAACAAACCTGCAAAAGTTACACTGATACTCAGGAAGCTTTTTTAAAAATAAAGATTTCCAGGCCCCCATCTCCCAAAAGTCATTTAGTCTAGAGAGGAGCCTAAAAATAACCTTAAAAAAAACCTCCTGAGATGATTTTTAGGTAACAGCCAGGTCTGATACAAAATAAAGAAACCATAACTGAAAATTATGTCACTAAATGCTAGAATATTAACTGAGTTACATGGACATGGCAACTTTATCATTTTTAAATTGTCTTAAGCAAACAAAACAAAAAATTGAACCTGCCTAAAGGAAAACATGCATTTCATTTTAAATCATAAACATGCATTTTACTGATAATTACTTTCTTTCTCCTTTATCCTTAAAGATTCAAAAAGTTGTCAACAAGAAGTTGAGAGAGCGATTCTGTCACAGACAAAAGGAAGTGTCCGAGGAGAATCACAACCATCACAATGAGCGCATGTTATTTCACGGTGGGTAGCGTGGCAGTAATTGCAGACATCTCTGCGGGCTTTCGCAGAATTCAATAAAGTGAAAAATCTGCGTTACATTGACTGTAATAGGGGTTGTGTTAAAAATGCTTATTTTTATTTTTTTTCCAAGTAAATTACTTGTTGGTACCAAGTTTCTTTAATGCATTTCATGTTACTGTGGGCTTTCCAAAGCACGTATAATGAAAATTATTCATCTGAAATTGTTTCAGAATTTAAATTGCACATTGAGCCAGCTGGTGAAGTGTTTCTGTTATAATCTAGTACTAGTACATTATGTATAATAGACCAACTTAAAAAAAAAAAAGTTTATTTTCTGAGACAAGAGTCTCACTCTGTTGCCCAGGCTAGAGTGCCATGGCCTCAGCCTAGCTCACAGCAACCTCAAACTCCTGGGCTCAAGCGATCCTACTGCCTCAGCCTCCTGAGTAGCTGGGAATACAGGCATATGCCACCATGCCCGGCTAATTTTTTTTCTATATATTTTTAATTGCCCAATTAATTTCTTTCTTTTTTTGGTAGAGTCGGGATCTTGCTCAGGCTGGTCTCGAACTCCTGAGCTCAAACCATCCACCTGCCTCGGCCACCCAGAGTGCTAGGATTACAGGCGTGAGCCACTGCGCCCGGCCGAAAATAAACTTTTTATGCATTAATTCTTAATCTACCCAGTGCAAGTATTAGGCAACTATTTGAAATTCTAGAAAAGTATTCAAAAACTAATCTTTCTATCTTTATATTTTAAGGTTCTCCTTTCATTAATGCCATTATTCATAAAGGGTTTGATGAGCGACATGCATACATAGGAGGAATGTTTGGAGCTGGGATTTATTTTGCTGAAAACTCCTCGAAAAGCAACCAGTATGTTTATGGAATTGGAGGAGGAACAGGTTGCCCTACACACAAAGACAGGTCGTGTTATATATGTCACAGGTAAGCATCTTGCCTTTAGTGTAATGGTTGCCACCCTCAGGTCATGAACTACATTAGTTTTTCAGGCTCTCAGAAGTCACAGATTATCATACAGGCTTAGGTGTTGGATAGGTGCAGCTCATCAGCCTCTGCCCTAAGGAGCAGTGACAGCAGAGCCAATACCAGTAGTGAAAACCAGATGCATGGCCACCAGTCATCGACTGTAACAAAATTCCCTGCGTCTTGGCTTTTTCCCTAGGCTTTACTTTCCTTGCTTCGGAATCAGAGCACGAAAAGGCTGAGAATGATTTCTGTAGAACCAAAAAACCTTTAGTTCTAAGATGTAAAACTTATACAAACTAGATGACTCTTTAATTTTCTTCTGATACTGCTGGTAATGTTTGTTTTTAGGCAGGATATATAATTAGCCTTGAAAAGTAACTTCAAAATACCAACTTAGGAATTAATAACAAACAAATGACTTTCAGCTTTTTAAATAGGATGTTAAAACTCAGAAATTAGAGAAAATAATAGTGTACTATCTCTGAAGTCAGTGGGGAAAAATACAAAAGAATTATACTTTATGAAGATTGGGATTTGTTACATTTCTCTTTAAACCAACCAAATGCATTATTTTTGCAAAGTCAGCTTAATAAGATATCTTTATGATTCAGTTAAGACCAATAGACGCATATAACCTTGAAATTCATTATGGTTGAAACTTAGATTATTTATGTTAAGAAAAAAACTATTATCATGAGCTATAAGATGGATGCCATATGTCCAGAAAGAAACTTCCTTCCATTAAGACCTCTGTGGTTAAGAACACACAGAAATTCCCAAGAAAATGTAGCCTGCAAAAGCGTTTTTCTGATGCTTCAATCATAGCTACTATGGAGACAAAATGAACCTAAATAAGCAATAAAAGTGAACCTTGATGAGGATTCACAGTTGCTTATTAAAAATTAGACACACACGTTTATGTCTTAGCCAGGATTTCCTAGAAAAGAGCTTGAAGCAGAAGTCTATGACTAGTACATTACTGGCAGATACAGTGCCAAGGAAGCAGGAATGAGGGTCCAAAAAGAAGTGACATGGAGATGGCAGCAGAGCGAACACAGTGAGGTGCATTAATGAGCTGGCCACAGTCTCATGACAGGTGCAGTTGCTGGCTCGGTCCCTGAGACGTGTCCAGAGAGGCTGTGTGAATTACTGCGTTTCAGAACAGTAGCATATCAGTGAGAGAGGGATGAATTGGACTGCTGGCTCCCATCTTGCATTGGCCAAAATTTGCTCTCCAGGGCATCTCTACCCCTACAGTTTGGGCTGCTGCAATTGCGTAATACACCGCAGTGAGCAAGCGCGAGCCAGCACTCTGCACCTGCAGCCTCGTGGGCGGGCTGGGCAGGTCCCGTAATCTTCTCGTGGCGACAGGGCAACCCTGGGGCAGGAAGCAGAGGCAGGAGGCCGGGGCCTGTTTATGTCATACACAGATTGACCTTATGGACCGAGAGCACGCAGAATCTAATGACAGCACACCACTGCCACGATGTAGAGATGGAGCTCAGAAAGCCTCTCTCTACTGTAGAGCAAAACCCTTTCCTCTGGGCCCTACAAGAGCATACGATTGATGCCAAGCCAGCATCCTGGAGGGTTCTCAGCAGTGTCCTGCTAGAACGTCTGGATCCAGTTATCCTGAGCCCAGCACAAATTTGAGTTGATGCAGAATAGTATCTCAGATGGGTCACACCACTGAGGTCATACTCTATTGCTAAAAACAAACTATTTGATCGAATGATAACTATTTACATTTAACAGTGTGACCAACCATACCGATTAATTAAAATTTTTATTGCTTATATTAGGGATTGGCAAACTTTTTTTAAATTATTATTCTAGATAAAAATTTTAGGCTTTGTAGGCCATACAGGCCCTGTCAGATTAACTCAACTCTGCCCTTATAGTGCAAAAGCAGCCATAGATAATATGTAAATGAATACATGGTGTTCCAGTAAAATTGTATTTACAAAAAAACAGGTGGCAGGCTGGATTTGGCCCATGAGCTATATATAATTTGTCAATCTCTAGTATGTATATAATATACTTTCTTCCCAATCAACCTTTCTTACTCCCTATAATATTTAGATCCGCTCCAGTGCATGTTTCACTGTAGTAGTATGATTTCCAGCCATATAAGCTAAGTATTTTTGTTCCTAACCTAGTTTTATTACCTAACCTCACTTTTTATTTTTTCCTCATAATGAGTAAACCCAGTCTTCATTTCAGGTGCTGTTTCTATCTCCGTATTCTTTCACATTCCACCTTTCCACCCATACAAGCAAGCACTCAGTTTTCTCTAGAATTTACCTTTCCCACTAGCCGAAACTTACTACCAGGTATTTTTCTAGGATTGATTCCTAAGCCACACAAAAACTGCTTTAAGTGTAACTTACCAAGCCTGATAACTGTTTATAAGTAAATCAGTGTATTAAATACATTCTACATTCCCATTCCTACTCATAAATTTGAAAATTACATTCCAATTAGCTTGCCTTTGTGTTAAATTGTTTTTAAAAATCAGTAAACCTTACAGTTTTATTATTCTAAAGTTTAAAGTTTCCTTCAAAGCATCGCTTTTCTCTTCTCTTTAGACAAATGCTGTTCTGTAGAGTGACCCTTGGAAAATCCTTTCTGCAATTTAGCACCATGAAAATGGCTCATGCTCCCCCAGGACATCACTCAGTTATTGGTAGACCCAGCGTCAATGGGCTGGCGTACGCGGAATATGTCATCTACAGAGGAGAACAGGTATGTCACTCATCAAACAAACATGACCAAGCTACTGAACGAACGTGTCAATACACAACATGGAGACCATGTGAGAGATAACAAAACCTCTTAATGAAATATCCACCACGTAGTCTGATAGCATTAGTCTTCCAGTACACAATGAAGATACCAAAATGATTCTCTGACACCAACTTTTGACGCAACCTATCAGTTACCTACCTGTCAGCTCAGTAACTGTACACAAGAGGGCAGCTGAGAAACAAACGCTTGGGCTCTTAGGCTGTTCTTGAGGCCTGGAAATATATATACAGAGAAATACATACATAGGGAAAACTTTCCATAATTTCATCCCTGTCTTTAGCTGTCACAGTATTACTAAACATCTACCAATTTGTTCAAAAACAAAAAATTAATTTGTGTGAACTTATTTGAATTTTAAATGAATACCATAACTACACTGAAAAAAAGAGAAAAATACAACCTATGAGGGTCAGGTGTGGTGGCTCACGCCTGTAATCCTAGCACTCTGGGAGGCCGAGGCAGCAGATTGCTCAAGGTCAGGAGTTCGAAACCAGCCTGTGTAAGAGTGAGACCCTGTCTCTACTAAAAATATATAGAAAAAATTAGCTGGACATGGTGGCACGTACCTGTAGTCCCAGTTACTCCAGAGGCTGAGGCAGGAGGATTGCTTGAGCCCAGGAGTTTGAGGTTGCTGTGGACTAGCTGACACCATGGCACTCTAGCGCGGGCAACAGTGACACTCTGTCTCAAAACAATAAATAAATAAATAAAAATATAACCTATAAGAACAATATTTTACTATATGCTATCAGTCTTGGGCATGGTAAGGTGTGTGAAGTAGAGGGAAGATTGGCAAAGAAATCCTGAACTTTTTGGATAGCGTAAGCAGAACAGGGAAACTCCTTTCGGTATATTATAGGATTGAGCAAATGAGTAAATGTGCTGATATATTGATTTGGGGAGTTGAAGTTCTCACTGTAGAAGAAGGTTCGTACAAATAGAGAAAGGTAAGGCAGACCCTTCAGGGATGGAATGAAATTGGAGATATGATTTCATGGTTTCTAGTATACATATGTATGTATGTACCCATGTAAATATATGTATGGGTATGCATATGAGTGTGTATGTGCATGTATTTCTTAGCTCTGTCTACTGAGAGCAAAGAAACCCCAATTGCAATGAACAAAGCTAGAGCCCTACCATTTCCCATTAAAAGGGATCAAAGGCTTCTTGGAAAACCAGCTAATTCCTGGGCTGGAAGCAGAATAGGTACAAGATGAGCTTAAAAATCTTGTTATGCCTCTAAAGTGATGAAGTGTTCAAAAAACAAATCGTGGGTGCATGTCACAAGGACATGGAAGCCAGCTTGAAGGCCTCCCACTGGCCAAATCTGGGACAGTTTGAACACCAAAGTAAGTAATGAATTTTAAACCACTGGGAAAAATAGGAACTCATTATTCTATTTGATAATAAATAGATAAAGGGGCTCTTGATTACAGTAGAATTTCAAGGGCAAATGGGTAGATGTGAGAGTGCTGGAATTGGAAAAACATCTTGCAAACATCATGGAAAAGATTAGATCAGGCAAGAATCATCAGTGGATGCTAAATCTAGGGAGTAATTTCAATAAGGAGAATAATAGTTGCATGGTCTTATTTGCAGTAATTATACATTGGAGACCAATTGCCTTGACCGGATAATCCAAATTAATATCACCCCTCAGGGACAGATAGCAGATAGTGTGTCTCTAGAAAGGCACAACATCTCTGCAGTATTCCAGCTAACAATATACAACCTGTGTCTAATTAAAATGAAGAATGTTCTGTTTTTAAAAAAACACATAGAAAGAGACTAAGCGCGACTGGCTCATACCTGTAATCCTAGTACTTTGGGAGGCCAAGGCAGGAGGATCACTTGAGGCCAGGAGTTCAAGACCAGCCTGGACAACTTATAACCAGATCCCCACTTCTGGAAAAAAACAGAAAAATCAGCCAGGTTTGGTGGTGCACGCCTATACTCCCAGCTACTCAGAGGGCTGAGGCAGACGGATCACTTGAGCCTAGGAGTTTGAGGTTGCAGTGAGCCATGGTGCCGCCACTGCACTCTAGCCTAGGCAATAGAGTGGAAAGATTATATTCTTCAAATCTTTAAAAGAGCATGACAATTCCTGCTTCATCTCCGTGAAAAATAAACTGAGAGCATCCGAGTTTAAATTTTAGCAGTGGGAATTTGGGTTAAGAATTTTCTGAAATTGAGGTACCAAAATAAATTGTTAAAACTTTCAAAAAATGCATTTTATGCTTTTATGACCAGCATGGATTTAAAGTAACTTGATAGGAAATATTGTTCTTTGGTCTCTTCTAGGCCCTTCTAGTCCTGCAGTTTAGTAATTCTCTCGCCTTAAATCCCTCAGGACTTTGATGTGATTAATCAGTATCTTAAAGTGTGTACAAAAACAATTTGGTAGCCTAATCAGCAGGGACCAGGAGCATTCAGATAAGGACCTTTGAGTAAGTCATGTCATTAGAATCTTAGAATCTGCCTGACTGAAATTTACTTGTGGCAGGGATCACCTTAAATCTTATGCTACCAAAATTCCAACGCTGGCATCACTGACTCCTTTGCTTAAGCAACTTTTCTGCAAGGAAAAAGAATGTGTCATGCAAAGTATCATAGATATTAACCTGCATTGGCACAAAAGGAAGTAGGAGTGGGCTTCCCACTCATTTGTGACACGTAGCATATGCCAGCTTGGATTATGTTTAAATGTCTCCTTTCTTTGTCTGGCTTAGCCTCTGAGACGAGATGGTAAGCTCCTTCCCAGCAGGGTCTGTATCTCAGATCAGAGTGTTTTTACATGGTAGATGCTCCATAAATGTATATTGGTGATAAATATATAATTTTCTTGGCCATTAAATGATTGGTTGGCTAATTATACTCAACTCTGGAGTTAGAAATGGATTTGTGACCTAGATTGTTTTAGTAAACCATTTCAAGAATTAAGCAGTATACAAATTATAACAAAATAAAACTACAAACTGTTTAGTTATTGAAGCATCAGATTGGAAAGTCAGAGATTGTCTATCGTGGTTATCCCAACTAAGTGGAAACCATTGCTGTTTTTAACTCAAATCTGAGCAGACTGGAATTTTGGGGGGGAAAGTGTTATGAATGATAGATTCCTTACATATATATAGACAGTTATAACTTTTTAAAACACATTAATGTTTGTTCTTTTTAAAATCTTTACTGAGACTCTTAAGAGATACATGAATGATAATAATGATGAAAATGTTTCTGCCTCCTAAAATCAAGGTATATAATTCAGTAAATCTATCACATTTATTTCTGCATTCTAAATATTAAACAGTCCAGTTTTTTCTTATCCTTCCTTCCTTTTCTTATCTTATTCCACATCTGTATGCAAATAATTCATAAGTCAGCATTCAACAAATTATTTTTGGACCCCACAACCAAGCCTTGGCTCACCAAAGAATGTTTTCAGCCAAACACTACTCTGAAATCCTGAGCCTAGTCTTATCATCATGCTATATTAGGGTTGAAGAATTCCCACATAGTATCCAAACTAAGGGGCATTTTGCCCTCTTCCCTCCTATTGCTGGCTCCATGTGGGTTGGGGGCAAGATCTGTAACAGCTCCCTCGGGTCAGCCTGCCTTTTCCAGTACCCTGCCCAGCCCAGACACTGAGCCTTCTGTGTTACTAACTGTGAGAGAGAAGGGACAAAGAGAAAAAGAATAGTGAAGAGGCATATCTAAATCTGAGCCATTAGTTAATTTTTAAAAATTATCTCCAAACTGTGGCCTCCAGGTTATGAGTGACTCAACACATCTCACCCTTACTCCTCCTAGCTCAGTGAGATACATCATTTTCTATAATTAATTTGAACTCGATTCGGAATTATTTTTTCATTTAACAAGCATTTATTGAGCACGTGCTATGTGACAACACTTTGCTACCTGAGGCAAAAAAGAAAAATATTCATGCTGCTTCATGCTTTAGTTTTCCTGTTGATGGCACATGGCTCTCTAATAAGGGATGACTGGAATGTAGCTAATTTAGAGTATTCAGATAGATTTTACAGGGGTCTTCAAACTTTTTAAACAGGGGACCAGTTCACTGTCCCTCAGACCGTTGGAGGGCCAGACTATAGTTTAAAAAAACTATGAACAAATTCCTATGCACACTGCACATATCTTATTTTGAAGTAAAAAAACAAATGGGCAAAAACACCCACATGTGGCCCGCGGGCCATAGTTTGAGGACGCCTGAGATAGAAATAGCATTATTTTTTCTAGATTTGTAGGATTTACACATGTTTATATACAGTTAAGTAGTTGGACCTGCTAATCGTTCAAGCACCTGTTAATGGACTGGGCCCATGTAGAACACTGTCCAGTATGAACAGCTTCTAAGGCTCCACATTAGTAAGCCTTCAACGTTGTACCTACCAGAAGCGTGACTTGTTTTTCTGCCCGTCGTTTCCAGGCATACCCGGAGTATCTCATCACGTACCAGATCATGAAGCCAGAAGCTCCTTCACAGACGGCCACAGCTGCTGAGCAGAAGACCTAGTGAATGCCCACTGGTAAAAGCCAGATCGGAGTTAAACCTGGGACTGGATTACAGTGGATTGTTTCCAACAACAACAACAAAAAAATCAATATTCTATAAATCCCTGACAGCCTAGAAATAAGCTGTTTGTCTTTTATAAAAGCATTGCTATAGTGATGAATATAGTATGAGTAACTGATACATACTCAACTGCTACTGTTCCCTTTGAGGAAATGTTTACAGGGGCGGCCTTTTAACATATCTCAGGCTCATTTTCATTGCAATGATCTGTTTCTAAAACAAGATTACTTTGATCTAGACTTGGAAACAGAAAAAAAAAAAAGAAAACCAATACTTTTTCAGATGTTCACAGTTCACACACTACACTTGCTTTGTTACGCGTGGCACGTTGTATATAACACACACACACACACACACGTGATAGGCTCATTCTTAACTTTTTTTCCAAACATGCATCGTTGGCTTTTGTTTTTTGGTTACTTTGAAAATGAGCCAGAGCCTTCTTGAGGATATTTTGCACAAAAATCACACTAACAGAAATCATTAGCAATGCAACCCAAGCTTCTGGCTGAACGAGATGCAGTTTCCTTTTTTTTTAAACTTTTGTTTGTTTCAGTTTGTATCTGTGCTTCTCATTAACATAAACTGAGATGAAAAAGAGCAACGTCAAGTTTTGGTATCCTTTTACGCATTGGCCCATCTTACCAAGGGGAAGGCACAAACATCACCTTGACTTAGGAGCCTCCCAAGTTCGGAGAAGTCAAAGCTGGTGTGGTCCACTTGCTCATTCTGATAAGACGGTGCTGGAGATCGAAGACTGTGCACGGCCAGGGAAACATTTGCGTTCCCAGGTGAAACGCCAGAGGCCATGGAGGAGGCGTGGCATTTAAGGAACGCGAGAAGCACGTGGCTCTATGTCATTGCAGCCCAGATGGATCAAGGGACTCCTCCAAAAACAAATACTTCCCTTCACTTAATCCATACTACTGGAATTGTCACCGCCCCCCCCCCCAAATTAGCTGCCTTATTTCCAAAGTCAGTGAAATTATTATGCTTCATTAGAGTCACAAAAATATTACCACTAGGGTTCAGATCTTATTCGGTAGACAGATGTACGCCGCCAAGGCAAGAGCTTGTCCATTTACTCCCGATTTTGGGTTTGAGGGACATGCTTCAAATAGTTCATAAAGATTTCTGTACTCGATTTTTGAATCATTTTCTCAAACTTCTTTATATATTTAGGCAAGGAGAAAAAAATTGAAACCAAAGCCCTTTCAGTTATTAATATTTTTTTCAATGAGCGTGATAAATACCATACTGTTTTCTTTGTGACATTACTGCTTGTTTTCATCAACATTTGCCAAGTCCACATTGACACTTATAGAAAATGGCCCATTATATTCTCACATTTGCCTTTTTCACCTTAACTAAATATTGAATTGAGTGCATTAATTTATTTGACACGCTATGCATCTACTTCATTTTGAAGCAAAATTAATATAAACAGGGTGGAAAAACAGGAAAAACAGTAGGACACAAACTTGCCATTTCAATTTGAAGCCCTGAAAACTATTTTGGGTTTCGTTTTGTTGTTTGTGTTTTTTGTTTTTTGTTTTTTAAATGCAGCCTGATTAAGCTGTGACCACCGTTAATTTCCTGAAGTGAAATAAAATGATTACATGAAAATTTGCTAGAACTAGGCTCTTAAAATATACATTTTGCTTTCTTTT